ATATATATATATATATATATATATATATATATATATTGTGCATTCTATTTTCGCAGTAGTTTGCACTTGGTTTAAAAGAAACTTAAATAGTAAAAAATTAAGAAAACGTGAAGATGGAATCTTGCAAAAACAGCAAATTGCAAGGTGGCAACACTTTTTTCTGTAAATAGTAAGGTGTTATCAGAACATTGGCATATATAATTTTTTTTTTATTTGTATATCAGGTTTTTTTTTACTGATCTTTTTATTCTGATTTGATGCTATTGTTTTGAATTCCTCAGTTGTCCTTAATCAACTCTGCAAAATGGTTTTAGCAGATTTTTAACTTTCGGAAAGTTTCGCTTAGGGTTTGAAACGGGTAATTTTTGGGTCCTGTTCTTTTACATCCTTCCGAGTACTGAACTCCAGTTTTTGGAACTTTTTTGGTTTTGCTTGATTACTTGTTTTAAGAGAAAAGGACTATCTGTCAGCGGTCGGATCAGTTTTTCCGTACAGCGATGGAAGTTTTGACATAATTTTTTTTGAGCATTAAGATTTTTAATTTTTTAGAGCGTTTTGCTGATCAGTAATTGCGGCATTATCTGGTCCAACCGTTTTGTAATTTCTTAAACGCCAGAGGTTATTAAAAGCATATCGTGGAATCAGAGGAGATTTTGCACACAATTAAGAATTACCAGTGTGATTTGATAAGAGAAATCACATTTTGTTATAGGAAATGGATAATGCTGAAGTTAGTTTGAAAACAGTGTTTTAACAGTGTAACTACTGTTGGTCATTGAAAGGGTTGAAATTTCTTAGCGGATCGGAGTAATAACTGGTTATGATATTTTGACTGTTATATAAACGGTCTTTATTCTTTATGCAAGCGTTCTATCTTTGTTAATTTTTGCTCGGTTCATTTACTTGCTATTTGCTCGTTCCAGGACTGGAAATTTGAAATGGCTGCCAGCATTTCTTTTGTAAGACGCTTCTTCCGTAAAATTATAGATACACAACGTCTATGGTTCGA